ACCCCCCCACAAGCACAAACAACCTTTCCCCTAGGTAAGCAAAAAAAAAGATGACAAAATCAACTGACCCAAGGAATTCAAGCGGAGACTTAAGACCCTGATCAATAATTACTATCGGGTCACACTCAGAGGACAGGCTCAGATCACATCTTAAAATTCAAATGCTGTGGATGGTGTAGCACCTCCTGCTAGCCCCGCACTGCTAGCAGTTCTAAGCCATATGCTGGTTCCACGTTTTTTTCTCACAACTCGGTTGTTGTGAGCCTAGAATAAATGTGACACGTTCCCCAAAATACGTAGGCCAGTTATGAAGGTCGACTCCTCATCCCCCTCCTCTCCTCCTTCAGCAAACTGAATCAGACACAGTTGCAGGTAGCATCATCCATCCTGGAGAGCAGAACCGGGCCCTGGAGGAAACCACCAAGATCAAACCAATGCACGGCAGCATCAAAAGCTTTTGCAGAGATTTGCAGCTAGTGGAGGAGACTCATCTTTCTGAAATCTCTGGGAACCGAGATGTGATTTTCTTGCTGCAGCCAACTCCATCAGCCATTGTATGGCTTTTCTCTTCCGGCTGCTGCGCACATTAGAACAACTCAGGCTGACTTGGAATCACAAAAATGACCTCTTTAGGGTGGTATGGCCAAAAGTGAGGGAAAAAAAACACACCAGAGCATCATTGAATCATGTACAGCATAAACCTGAAGTTTCTCGATGAATACTCACGTTCTCAATCTCCTTAAATACTTCAGGAAGATCAGAAAGGGACGCTTTATTCCAGAACACTCGGCCTTTCACCATCACTACGGCCAGATCTCCTGTTCCTGAGACTAATATAATAGATGATGTATTGATTTTCTGTCTCAGAAATGCCCGAGCTCCTCTTAATAGAAAGAAAAAGGTAATTAAAGAATTAGGCAAAGTTTCTTAAGGTTTCTGTGTTGCTATGGGAAAGGTTCCTGCATGCATTAAGTAACTGACAAAATAGGAATATTGATGGGGGGGGGGAAATGCATCTGTTCACACATCCTTTTCATGCGATATGCGAATATTCCCGCAGAACAAAACAAGCCGGGTTGTAAAAGCAAAGGCTGAGTGGTGCTTTAAGGACAAAAGGGTCATTAGCAGGGTGCTGCTGTTAAGGAATTCCAGCCTGATGGCTTGCTTCTTCTTCTTTTTTTTTTTTTTTTCTTTCTTTTTTTTTCTTTTTTTCTTTCCCCTTTTAACTTTATTGCTCAAGTCGGAATCCACAGAATTCAGGGCAGTTAAGAGCGGTCTTCAAACCCATTTCTGTGACGTTGCCTACGGGTCGTGGGTGAGGTAAGAAAAACCTCCCGGTGTCTTAGCTTTGGGGGGGGGGAGCAAGGAGGGGGAGGGGAAAAAGAGTATTCTTTCCTACATTCCAACTATTTTCGTTTGTCTTAGCGTTGAAGATGGCATCAAAGGCGGTTGCGTTTCCCAGTTCCATTTTCCCAACTCTTTGTGTGGACGGAAGATGGATTTTCCTGGCAAAATTCTAAAGGCGCATTTCTTTTTTTTTTTCTGGATTACCAAACGGCAACAGAAGTGTGCGGTCAGCTTTGTGGTGACCTCTGACACTGTAAAGAACAGCATTTTTCGTCACTGACATATTCGTGTTCATAGACGTGAAGTCAGTGATTGCTGTTGGTATTAAAGGTAATTAGAGCCCTGTTCGGGAAAAGTAACTTAACAGAGAAGTCGCGCACAACACTAAAAAATAAAAAGAGATTTACGTTGTAATTTCTCATCCTATCTCTTTCTGCATCTAGAAACTGACAGTAAACTTGCACGAAGACATCCCGCCAGGGAGGAATGCCGGGTTTTGTCTTTAAACATTTGCACTTCAATTCTTGCCTATCTGTTCCTTTCAGATGCGTTGCTCAGGCACCCAACACTTCTCCCCCATTATCTATGTGCTCGACCAAGATGATCTGCATCAACTGGGAGGCGATTAATGGAGCACGGAGACAGGTCGCATTACTATGGAAATCCCCTCCTACAGCTAGCGAACAAGTGAGGAAATCTGGCAGAGATGGGAATCAGTTTACCCTGCGTGCCCCACTCTGAGCGCCAGGATGACTCAGTGGTCTCCGAGCCAGGCGCTATGGCAGAGCTGAGCAGAGCAGTCGGGCACCCAGGCAGGTGGACTCCCTTCACTTCCCCCAGGTCGCATATGCTTCTTGTTCACCAAGAAGATTGGAATGCTTTGCCATTTATTTCTTTTTTTTTAGGGTAGCGCTAAGAAATAGGCGCCTCAAACCCAATGGAAGCCTCATCTCAAAGGGTT